CTTCAGCCACTGTCTCTATTTTCTGCAAAACTGCACTGTTGGCCTCACATTAAGGGCCGACTGTGCATCAGTGATGGCCGGCCGGGTCAACAGATGGCCGACCGTGCCTCAATTTGGTATAAAACTCTATTTTTGTGCTCTGAGGTAAACTAGTGCAGACAGAGTGTTCTCAAGCTCTGTTTGCCCCATCTTTCTTCTCTATCATGGGAAAGCCTCGAGCGAATGTTGAAATTTATTCCAAAGCCATCAATGAGCAAATTGATTGCTTAATGATCTTGGATATAATTTTGGACAAAAAGTCAATGAATGCAATGAATAAGATCACTCATTCCTCTTGTCATAAGGTGAGCTCAAAGAGGGAGGTTGCAACGCTTCAAGAATCATCCAAATGCCATGAATTAGCATGTGACGACTCTTGACATAAGGAACTTGGCATAACGTCCGGCCAAGTTCAAGCGATTCTAACCATTTTCTTTTTATGGGTTGTTCCAAGTTTTAAGCCAATTTTATGAAGCCTTGCCATTCTTTAGTCCATTTGTCTATGGTGATGTTAAAGTCCTCCAAACAAGAAATAATGTCAAATGAGAGGTTCTTCTAAAACATAAGAGAGAGAGAGAGAGAGAGAGAGAGAGACTATACCGTTGGCAATGAATCTCCGAAAAAATTAAGCCATTACGTAGGAGTCTCTCTTACATATTTTGAGCAACCTCAATCGATTGAAATCATTCTCAAGAATGAAAGAGATAGATGATTAGATTGATTGTTAAAATTAGACTTTTAGACATGGAAATAAGTAAAGAAAAGCTTGGAACAATATGCAACAAGTTATGTATGCAAACTTATGAGACAACAAATGAACTAAACAAAGCATGAATCAATTTAAAAGGCTTGGACAGCCCTAAAACAGCCCTTATTAGATAAAAAAAACAAAGGCTCAAAGGTAATGAAAAGAGCCTAAAAAGTTAAACCTAAAGTAAGGAAAACAAGACTAATGAGCAAGAACAAGCCACCCCTCCACTTTTGAAACCTTAAAGCATGTTTTTAGCTTCTTTTAAACTCTGAAAATCAGTGTAGAGAGCAAAGAAAAAGAGTGTAAAAGAAAGGTTTAAGCTATAGGTAAAGATGTAGAAAGAGCAAAACTCTCTCTAATCTTTTTAGTAGCTCTTCAAACCCAATCGTAAACACTTAGAATATACTCAAAGAAACACAAAACAATAAGAACTAGATAGGAAATGAAAGAGTTGAAAGCAAGCGGGAAGAACAAGCTTATACCTCTCAAAGAAGTTAACTCTTGCTTGTGATCCAAGCTTAGTCTCAACCCACTCTCAAGCTTGAATTATGCTTCTCAAAGATCAACCAAGGCTCTAAGATGGTGAGACAAGGTTGTGTATGGTGTATGGAGATGACACAAAGGAGCTAGGTTGGCTCAAAGGTTGCTTGCTATGGAAGAAGGAGGAGGGAGGAGCTCTCAAGGTGTATATAGGCTTTCTAAATTTTGTTCAACCCCCAAAACAAAGGCTGGATCTCGTTTTTATAGAATTTGAGTTCAAAAGGTGATAAATATCTTCAAAAATGGACAGCTGGCGGCCTCCTGCCTAAAACAGTATTTCTCGCCACCATGGCCCGGCCGACCATTCACAAGCCACGGCTGGCCATCACTAATGCACGGCCGGGCCTTGATGCCCTCCCCTGTTTTTTTGGTTCAAACTTAGCTCAGGGTGGGAAAATGTCTAAAAATGGGACTCAGAGGTTCAAACAAGGTAAATGTTAAAGATTTGAGGTTATTTTGAGAGCCTGACTGAATCTGAATCGCTGCGAATTCAAAGCACACAATTCAACTTTCATCATTGAGTGTATCAAACCAAGCGCCTAAGTCTTGCGGGCAATCAAAATGGGGTGTCTACACCAGCACTTGTACACAAAATGATAAGCATACCATGGCGACCATGATGACTCGTTCACCCGAGGGCACTGTTGTAATACTCATCTCGGCTACCCTTCTTCGGGACATTAGCATATATACATATATACTATTAATTATATCAAATAGGGCTTAGATCAGGGGAGGCGATACCTACCTCCGCCCCACCCTGTTATCGGTGACCAAAATATAATTCACCCCTATTCCCACATAAGTGTCAGATCGGATAAAATTTACCCTATTCGAGCAGATATAAGCGGCCCCCCACAAATCAAACTAAAATAATCATCCCTGATCATCAGTGATCAAGCAAAGCCATTTCCGAAGCACCAAAAAGAAAAAAGATCAAGCAAAGCAAAGATGTACTAAGTTGATCCAACTCTGTGGTCTACCTCTTCCAAAAGTATCGTGCGAAGGATTTGGATTAGTTCAGATTATGAGTAAATCAGGACTAAATTATTATTTATAATTTGATAAAATTTAAAATCAAACTAAATTATGAAAATATTGAAATCAAATTAAAATGAACCAATAAATCGCGGTTCGATTTAGTTTAATACCACAGTTTTTAGCACTGTTGTCATCATTCATAACATGATTATAAAATATTATTCACAATCTCAGAATTGTTGAATAATTGTTTACGACTAATTCTACCACTACAAGAACAAGCTTGTAAAAACAAAATATTACAACTTACGTACATATTTGATATTAATTAGATATTTGAGTGTTTACAGTAGGTATCAAATTATATATGTGTATATGAGTTCGGTTCCAAACTAGATCCGTAACTATAAAATCACGGATCGAATCATGAAGTATAGTTTGCCTATCTTAAGAACCAAGACTAAATTGTATATTGAAAAAATCAAATCAAACCGGATCGAACCTGTTTGCAATTTTAGTTTTTCTATTCAGGTCTATCCAAAAAGGTGATGCTACTTACAGTGGCAGACGAAGGAATTTTAACTAGAGGGATCTAAACTATGTGTAAGAAATTGATAATAAAATTTTAATTATTTCATTCATAATGTACTTATCATACGTAAGTTATATCAAAAGATAATTTAACTATAAAAATTGTAAAATATCATAAAATTTTCAAATAAAAGAGAATAATGGTACTTTTTCTACATTGGGTTCGTTTGAGAAGTAACTTTTTAATTATTTTTTAATTAAAATATGAAGTGAAAAAAATTAATATGTGTAGTAATGACTCTTTGATTTTTAAGAAAAATCTATAAAATAGTGTAAGTGGTGAGAAATATTTGATTTTTGTACCCGAGTTGACCTCTATTTTTTATTTTTTTATTTTGGAACTTGTTGATTAAAATAGTCATTTATTTGTCAAATGAGTCCATTGGCCCTGTTTGGTAGGGCTTATTTCAGCTTTTAACTTAATTTAAGCTATTTTGATGTGTTTGATTCAGCTTAATAATACAGCTTATAGCTTTTTGTAAGTCAAAAATCAACTTATTCTTTGAGTGGGAGAGGACAAGCTTAATTTATAAGTCAAAAATCAACTTATGTTCACAGTTATAAGCTATAAGTTGTTAGGGTATAAGTTATAATCACTTTCCCACAGCTCTACCAAACGGGGCCATTGTATATAACAAAAGAATTATTTTCATCTTGTTGTTTTATAAAAACTTATACAATAGATGTAAATAATCATCTTATATATGTTACCAATATTATAATGAGAGTCTATTGGAAGTAAATTTTAAAATTCATATTATAATGATCATATTTACATATTAAAAGTCATTTACCATCTCATTTGTTATTATTGTATCAACTTAAGTAATCGTAATTATTATATAACTCTTATATATTATCAATGAAGTGATGACATAGAAATTAATAAATGATTTTTTACTACATAAACTGAAATAAAAAATTATCAGTATTAAAAAAATTTAACTTAAAATATTTTAGATTTTCTTTGGGATGAAAAGAAGAGGGGGAAGGAAGAGAAGGAGAAAAAAAAAGAGAGAGAAGAAAAAGAGATAGAAAATGAGTCTTATCTCTTGAAATTTTGATCACATTGAATTGAAATAATTTTTTATATTTCCATTTCTATCGTAATTAGGATATAAAATAAAGAAAATTATTGTAATTTCTACTATCATTATTTGGTTAAGTTGGAAATAAATATATAAATAAAATAAAATAAAATAAACTAGTGATTTCTTTCCAATATACTCTTACAAGTTATTTTATCAAAATAACTTTTTATGTTTTTATTTCTTTTGTAAGTAGATGGACAATTTTGGTATATACAAAATAATTTTCCTCTTTTTTTTTGTCTTTTTCTCTCTCCTTATGGTGAGATTCACAAAATGAGTTATGAGAGAAATATTTCTTACCATTTTTCCTAATTTCTCTCATATTTAATAATCCAAACAAGATTGATTTTATTTTATTTTCTCCCCAAATCACTTAATCCAAACAAGGTGTAATCAAAATTGATTCGGTAATTAATTGCCCCAAAATCCATTTCTTTGTAATTTTCTCTTAAAAGTACAACCTCCTAATCCCTTCATTTTAGAATATGCTATGGATCGATGAAGTACAACCTCCTAATCCCTTCATTTTAGAATTTTCAATAGAAATAATCTCAGCAACATTTTAGAAACAATGCCAACTGGAGAAAACATGCAGCTAACCTTAATAATAGAGAACCTGTGAAGGTGCTGTGCCTGCACGGCAGCATGTTGTGAGCATATATAGTGGCATTTTTCAAATCTATTCCAATAATTCAAACTATTCATATTGTAAAATTCATCAAGTTTATAGCCTATGTTTAAAAAAATAAATGTTTTAACATAATTTTGATACTTTTTTAAATACAGTTCTGGTTCAATCATGGAGCTATACATATCCGATTAATCTCATTTTTATGTGGATAATATTCTCGACGAATCTTATAACATGAACAATTTAAATTATTAAAATAAAATCAATACAAACATCAATTGCAGCGTCACAGCATGGTGCTGTGACAGCACCTTCCCCTTTGCCCAATAATAAAAGGGCGGAAAATTAAATTTTAAACAGCTAGGCTACACAGAAATGTATAAATAACAATTGCAATTGCCCTTTTACTTCAAAAAGGATTTGAGAGCTTTCCATTTCCGACAACCAAACAAAATTTTTTCAATAAAATGACTCCGTGATATTGTAGTAGCAAGGAAAAAGAGAAAACAAAACAAAAGCTTCCAAGGAAAAAAGAAAACCCCCATGTTCCTCATTACAAAGCAGCGGGAGAGCGCCAAAACAACCAAACTGATAGTAAATGGGGAAATTTACCCATACCTACAACGCCAATAGGGGACAAAAACATGACTCTACGGATGTCATCAAAAGGCCAAATGGCACACCTGAATAAACATGACTTCGTTGAAGCATCCCCACCATCATGAGAAACCAAAGCCAGTTCAGCAACCCCTTTCACTGCACCTGAGGCTCGACAATGCGGGACCCAAACAAGACAATGAGATGCCTGACACAACTCCAAATATTATACCCACCATACATAATGAAGACTTCAATGAAATAGCTTCTCAGAAGTCCTGCAAATTTCAGACATACAAACTTGTTCAAAACACCAATATAGCATCCAAAAGATGGAAAGGAATGTTTAAAATCACAAAATTAAGCTAAGCAGCATGGACACTACTAAAAAGATACGTGCCACGTCTAACACCGTGTTCAACTTGACACTAGTCCGACATTTCCCAACACTTCAACACACAAAAAACACATTACAAGTTTGAGTAAATTGGAATCTAATGATAAAACAAAAACAATAAAAATTTATACATATTCTCCTCTTTTAGACATTAAAAATTATTATCTGAGTTAAATATTTATATATGACATATAATAATAAATATATAAAATTACACATTTTGCATGTATCTCACACATGTCGCGTCCTATATTTTTTGAAAAATTTTGTATGAACATGTCTGCATTATGTCATGTGTCCCTGCTTCTTGGGAATCAAGCAGTGAATTTGAGATGGAGAGTACCTTCAGTTAAAGCTGAATCCACCAGAAGGAACAGGAAGCTCACTCCCCCCAAAGTTAAACCCAGGTTTGGACGCATCACCAGGAGGCATTGTTTCATCATCTTCCTCCAACCAGTACGTCTCAAGAATCTTAACGGCTTTCTCATAAATCTCATTGTTGTCATGACTCTGAAGGTTCTCAATTTTCTCTAAACCGTCAGCATCATCAATCATTTGAGCATAGAGATTTACATCTCCTGATTGGCCCAAATTTTTCTCAGCTTCCCCAACCTTCAAGATGTTTTCAAGTCCTTCTAAACAGACTGTGACAATCCTCGGATCAGGACATACAAGAAGATCACATAACGGCTTGATACATCCTTGGCTCACGAGGTACCTGTCACCAAAAATAAAATTAGCAAAGTTCATTGAAATATACTATGATACACTCACAAGTGAACAGAATATTTGCCAAGATATCATACTTAATTTGTTCATGACTTCCACCAGAGGTAGCATTTGAGATTGCCCAGGCAGCCTCTTTCTTAATATCAAATTCCGCACTCTGAAGCAAATTAATTAGAGGGCCAAAAATATTGGACTCAATCACAGCCTGTAGAATTTCAAAAACCACGTGTCAATCGTATATAAATGGCCAAAAGTGCACAAGGCTCCAGAGAGGTTTTTGTGGTTGAAAGTGATAAAAATATCACTGGTCATTTTTCTCAGTAGTATCCCATTACTAATAAGATAAACCCAAGAAACCCTAAAATATGAGCCAACAATATGACACATCAAACCACATGTAAAAAAGAGGCTTAGTTTTGCCAATTACCTGAATCTGCTCCTTGTTTCCAGCAGTAATGTTTGAAATTGTCCAACAAGCTTCCTTCTTGATACTCTTCTTATAATTACTCGACAACAGGTTCAGAAGACATGGTAGTGCTTGATGGTTGATAATACACTGGTGGAAGAATAGCAACAAAATCCCATTCAGTGTGTTTGGTTTCAGTTTTTTGAGTTCAATTTTCTAGAAATTAAGGGTATGTTTGGTTTGGTTTGGTTTGGTTTTGGGACAGTAGTTTTTAAAAATAGTTTTGGGGAGAGAGTTTAGAAATATTTTTAGTTTGTTTGGTTGTGTATTTTGAAAGTAGTTTTAAAGTTTGGAAGTTTGGAATGATTTGATATTTTGTTATAATTGAATAGATGTGTGTGAAAGAAAAAGTGATTGAGAATGGGAGAGGAGAGAGAAAAAGTGATTGATTGATAGGTAAAAAAGAGAAAATTATTTTGAAAATTATTTTGAAAAATTTTCAAACCAAACAAATTTTTAAAAAAAAAAATTCCAAAATCACTCTAGAAATCCAAACCAAACATACCCTAAGTTTTTGTTTTGCGTGTTTTTTAGTTTTTAGTGAATATTTTTAAAATTTTAAACACTTTTTTTTACTTTTTTAGTTTTTAGTGAATATTTTAAAAAATATTTCAAAAAACTAATATACTGAATTTTCCTTCTTTTTTTTTTTTTGTACTTTTGGTATTTAGTGACTTTTTTAAAGATTTTTTTCCACAAATATTATACTTTTTAAGTAGATTTATGTTAGGTGTGTCTAAAAATTAAAAAAAAAAAATTCTTAAAATATTAAAAAAATCAGTGAAAACAAAAAAAAAAATACGAAAAACAAAAAACAAAAAAGTAGAATTTTCTGAAAAGTATTTTCTGAAAACCAAAACCAAGCATGTTTATTAGCTTTGTGCAAAACTTATGTAAGTATTTGCATACCCAAAAAAATAAAGAAGTATTCAAAACTTGAACATTAAATTTCTGTATTAGGCAAGTCTTCATTGGACTAGACCCAAAACAAAGAAGATCACCTTAAGGGGTGAAAAAATAGCTGGATTTTAATGAGGCATATTGCACAGACAAAACATGGAACAATATTCAGGAAAATAGCCAATATTGGTGTTTTACTAGTTTTTACTGGTGTTTACGAAACGCAAGAAATAGTGAATGTAATGTAAGCAATAAGCATATCAGGAAAAACATAGGCTACAACAATGAAATTAAATTGATGAAGCATTCTCAAACTTCCTATCACTAAAAATAAAAGACATGGTTACAATTAACTATATTAGACCGTCCATACAATTAATTATCAGAGTCCTCATCAATATTATAATTATCAACCAAATATCAAGGAAAAAGATTTACAAAATCTCACTTGCCACAGTCAAACTATAATTTACTGGGAATCCATTTGCCATCCAAAACATTTTGCAGCTTTTGCCATGGTAGATCTATTGTAATTGATATGAATAAGGCTTTGCCTATGGGGACAAAGCATTTGATGTTTCATTCTACAAGAACTGACAATTTGACAATATATACATGTATGTGTGCAGGTGAGGTGCGAGTTTGAAACTGTTTGGTGTCATCATCCAAATTGAACGAAGTCAAATATTAGGGCTCATTGAATTTGTAAAGATATTGTGAAGGTTGTATTTAAAAAATAAATAAATAATTCCAAATCACCAAATTCACCGATCTCAACCCGGCAAGCCTTTTTTCTGAACATCAACCATCCATATAAAATTGGGTTCATAAATACCAACAATAAATTTTATGAAATTTCAGCAACATGTATCACCTTAAATCCTAGCTCTAGCCATTTCCCATCCCTGAAGTGCACTAAATTATTCTACCCCCCTAAATCTATAAATTACCCATTACTCTAATGAAAACAAAGCATCACATGGTAACCATCCAATTGACTGATCCACATAACTTCATTCAAACCAAGAATGAAAAACCCATTTCAAAAATCCCATTTGTAAAATAAACATAAAGAGAAAGAGAAAGCATGTAAAATATGCGTATATATGAGAAAACACAAGAAAACATGTTTCCAATTGCCTAGTACCTGAGTTTGCATGTCATCTCCAGTGACAATGTTACCAACTGTACGAAGAGCAGGAATTAGCACTGAGGGAGATGGGTGACTGAAATTCCAAAAACTTCAATGTTAGGGCAAATAACAAATGAAAGAGAAGACAAAGGCAACTCACAAACAAATGAAACTAACAAGCATATGATATAAAATAAAATACTCACAGTAAGAGCTCAATAAGCCGGGGGCACACTCCTGCTTCAATAACAGCTTGAATTTTATCATTCGTACCATCTGAAAGATATGAGAGCGCCCAACATGCATCTGTCAAGACTTCTTCATCATTTGAGTGAATAAGACGCTGAAGTGCTGGGAGTGCAGGCTTAGTCTGTGCAATGAAATTGGGAGAAGACAGTGATAGGAATATTAAATTTAGTGGTCAGCAATTTACCAACAAGTATATATATATATAGTAGTCAGCAAACAGTACACAGACATAAATATAGACTTTTAATGATATGATTCATCCTTACTACTTTTGAAGAATAATAGTTGTGATCTTTTTTATAATGCTCACGCAGCATAGATATGTAGGTGGATATCATAAAAGTAGTGTCATTCAGATTCAATACCCGAAAAATTAAATACATTGCATCATTCCACAAAGACATAAAAAATTTTATTACTTTTCTAGCATAAACCAACTCAGCAAAGCCTAAATTTCAACCCAAACATTGCCCACATATTAAAATTAAATCAATTTCTTTCTTCCAGAGGACGTTGATAATGGAATGTAAATCAAAAGATCATGTAGAGCTCTATATATAAGGAAATAGACACATTATGAGGGCCCAGACACTTATCATCCAATGTATATGTTTGTAAAAAGTAAGATTAAAAAGGGAAACAGCACATCAAATAGGCCTACCTGATCAAAAGCAGGCTGTGGCTTGCCTCTACAGAAATTCGAAAGCGTCCAAGTAGCATTTCTCAGCATGGAAAGCTTGGCATGCTCGTTCAACTGTGCCAGCAAAGGAAGCAAAGCTCCATGGCCAAGGACAAGATCACGGCATTTAGGAGAATCACCAGCAACATTTCCCAACGCCCACACTGCCTACATGTCCAAATGCACCCACAATTCATCAGTTATGCTAGCAAACGTAAAATGATATTTCCAAACACAAATACTAGACAGTGGTCAAAAGCAAGAAATTATAGCAACCACAGTGACAAAAGAAAAATAAAATCAAATGTGATGCTACCGAAAACACATTAACGAATAAGAACTACGGAAGCAATAGTGTATCTTCACAAGAATGTACCTGCTCTCTAACATCATCACTAGGAGAACCAAGAAGCTTCACAAAGATTGGAACGGCACCATGATCAATTACCACCTTTGTGTTCTCAGATGTCCCAGAAGCAATGTTTGTGAGAGCCCAAGCAGCCTCAAACTACACAAATTTTAAGAACAAAGACTGTAAAGATGAAACTCCATCAATGCAAAGCTATAACAAAGAGAAAACAATGAACAGCATTACGGACCTGAAGTTGCGGGAAGTCCTCCCTCACAAGAAACTCAACAAAACGAGGAACAACTCCTGATTGAATAACTTCCTCGATTGGAGGACTCCGTTCTGTAAAACATTGAATTAAATAATTTATACATCTTCAGACCATAAAATACATAACCTAGTATAAAGGACCCCATAATCACCTATCGATAGCAACTTCCGAAACTGGGTAGTAGCTTCTAGTTGCAAATTACCATCCTCAGACCAAACACCTGCAACCATTGCAGGTAGATGCTCTAACTGCAATCAACCACAATAACCAAATAACCACATAAATATCCATGATAACAAGAAAATCCAACTATTTCAAGAACAGCAAGCAACATGTTACAGTCAATAACGGCAATCATTAATTCACAAACCCCCAATAAGACAAAACTTCAACGGCAACAAAAAATAAAACAAACACCCAATACGACAAAACTTCAACTGCAATGAAAAATAAAACAAACACCCAATAACAGGAGATGCTCTAACTGCAATCAACCACAATAACCAAACAATCACATAAACATCCGCAATAACAAGAAAATCCCACTATTTCAAGAACAGCAAACAACAAATTACCATCAGTAACGGCAATCATTAATTCAACAAACCCCCTATACAACAAAAACTTCAACTGCAACGAAAAATAAAGCAAACCCCCAATGCGACAAAACTTGCAACGAAAAATAAATGAATAACTAAATAACCATGAGGATTAATTACTCCAACCATCACCACATAATTGCTTCCTACATCGAAAATACTTCACAATTTAATATAGCACTTCATGACAAAAACACTCAAAATGGGTCAAAAAAAGCTCAGTTACGATGAATAACAGCAATCCTTAATTCAACGAACCCTTAATACGACTAAATTCCAACTGCAACCAAACATAAATGAATAACTAAATAACCATAAGGATTATTTACTCCAACCAACAGCATAATTTAATACAAACCCTCAAAATCAATGACATAATCACAATCCATGGTGTACAACATAAACCCTAAACTTCAGATCAATATCAGAAAATGAAGCTATTGGAAGTAAATTAGAAATGAATAAACCTTCTTCTCGACAGCAGAGGAGGATTGAAGAGTGGAAGAAAATTGCTGATTAGGTTGAAGGCCTTCGCGACGCTTTTTCTGCAAGCTCTCTTCTCTACGGTTCTTCCGGATCTCCACCATGTTGTCTTCCCTCCTCCTCCTACCTTCTTCTGCATCCACAGCTACCTTGTACCTGTTGCGGCGAACCTCGGTTCTCGCGCTTGGTCTCAGCGACATCGTTGATCTCTCGATCCAACAACAACAACAACAATCACTGTGAAATTGAAAAACCTAGATAGAGAAAGCGATGGATATACAGAGATATACGTATACGTAGAGAGAGAGAGAGAGAGAGAGAGAGAGAGAGAGAGATGGCGGAGAGGGTATGGGGTTTTTGGTTTCAATGGAGGAGAAAACAGGAAGTTTAATATAGGGTTTTCGCTACTAAAATGGGCATAGATCAGCGGTTATTTACGAAAATGGCATTGAATTTGAATTTGAAGACGACGACGATGACTGTCATTTGGGATTGGATTTTGCCAAGGCACCTTTTACGAACTGCGCGAAAGATGTTTTTGTATTGTAGCTAGCGATGGTGTAGAATTTATAGTTCAAACGACGGCGTTTGCTTTCAAGATTGGGCTTGTGGTTTTAGGAGGGGTTTCTTGACAGTATCATTCTCTACTATTATTTAAAACAAAACCCTTTATGACTGGTTAGCCGTTAACGTAGGTCCCACTGACAGTATTATATATACTCAACTAAATAATTGTCCCAAAAAAAAAATAATTGTGCAGTTATGATTATTTATTAAAAGAATTAATAATACATAATTTTAAAATAGTAATTTTAATGAAAATTTACTGAAATGAAAGAGAGAGAGTAGAGAAAGATAGAGTGAGGAATATGGGCCTTTATATCACGTGGACACTCTCCATATCATTAATTTTTAAATTAGAACTCTCAAATATTATTGTTATGAAAAATTGTGTTAATGGATATAAAAATGTTTCAGAACTCTAAAATAAGGCCAAGTTTGGGAAGACTAAATAAGTGCACTTTTTGACTTTTCTTGTATTATGTGTAGAAAAAGTAGAGAGGAGATGTTGATTGATGTGACCCAAAAAAGATAAAAAGATGAAATAAGTGCACTTTTTTAATTTAGCCAAACTTGGCCTAAGAGTTCTAGTGGACCTCTAGGGCGGGTGGAGCCCAACTAATATGATGTTTTGATTTTTTTTTTTTTTTTCTTCTCATTACCAAGTGTATAGAAATCTCTTTAGCCTCCGTTTGGGAAGTGAGTTGGCTTTTTAGCTTTTTGACTGTTTTAACCTGGGGCTAAAAAGCCTGGTTTGGAAAGGGCTTTTTGGCTTTTTTGACTTTTTTTGTGAGAGAGGAGTGTAATAATTATAGGTTGAATTTGATGTTTTGTTTTTTGTGACTAAAATAGCCTATTTTATTTTTTATGGCTATTTTAACCCCCATCAAAACCAACTTCCCAAACTATGCCTTAAAACTTTATTTTTAGGAGATGTATCACTGTCCAAATAGATATTAGTCTAACTCCAGTTTAGAAAAGAATTGAACAGTGTCATTGGCCGCAATAGATTTGACTCTGGATCTATTTCAATGATTTAAATTATCAATGTGTTGAGCTTATCGAATATATTGTTTTTGTAAAAAATTATGTTAAATAGATATCGATAGTCACTTAATAAGTTTGTATTTGTGTCTGTAATTTATTTTTAAAATCATAATTACCGTTAATACAAATGCAATATGATCAAATGACTATCAAAATCCGATATACATGACTTTTTTGCAGAGATAATATACTTAACAATCTATATGGTTTGAATTATTGAAATAGGCCTGAAACCCAATCTACCATAACCTAATAACACCGTCCAATCCGATTTCAAATTTGGGAGATGTTGCAACCAATGGATATATATGACAACCCAAGTTCTTGTTTGTTAAATTAAAAAGGGCAAATTACAAATACACTTTTTAAAAATTTTTAAAATACAAATTGTCCCATATGTTTTGAAAAATTATAAATATCTCTTGTCAAAAGTTTTTATTTAACAAAATTAATCAAAAAAAATGAAAATCCTAACTACTCTCCTGTAAAATGATAAAATTATCTAAATTATTATTTGAAATAAATTTCTAACATCATTAAAAATTGTTAATTAACTTGATGATTTATTAATAAAATGTGAAATTTGTTATGAAATTAGAAATTTCAAAAAGTGAAATGTAATTTTCAAAAGTACAACGAGTAAATCGCATTTTAAATAAATTTGAAGGAGTCTATTTGTAATTTATTTAATTTTTTTAAAAAAAATGTTGTCTTTTAATACTAAAAAGACTAATAATCGACTCAACTTTGACAGAAAAAACAACTTCACTTAAGCAATTATAACTTTTTTACTAGTAACAATTATTAAACACATCACCATTATTAGATTTTTATATAAGAAAAAAAAATTACAATTAAAAAAATAATAATCAAACTCCACTGAAATAATTATACGATATCATGAAAAAAAATAATATTTTTACACTATTATGAATGAGAAATATCTAGCACAAATATTAAGAACTCAATGGGATTTTTTGAGACTATTTTTGGTCTTTTATTTTATATATAATTGATAGAAAAGTATTGTAGTCATGTGTTAACATTGTATTTAGTTGAGAGATTTAGACAGAGATTTGAAAATGAAATGAAAAAAAATGTATGAAATTAAGTAAAATACAAATATATTTTATTCATATTTTACCTATCTTTTTCATTTCCCTTTCTAAATTCCTTCCTAACTCCCTCAATAAAACACAACATAAGATGTGGCAAGGATAAGGTTAAGAGTTTGAGTTGATTGAGGTAGTAATAAAAATAATATGAAAAATAAACATTTAAAAATAATTTTTAACAATTAAACCAAATAAATTAATGATAAGGCTCAAATTGAACTATAAGGGATACGTTACTCACTAAATTAATTATTAATTTAAAACTATTATTAGTCCGGAGTTTTTTTTTTTAGATGGATAGTCCGAAGTTAATAATTTGGTTTTGTACTGTGTTTTATGTCTACAAAATATAGTCATTTTGGCTACATTCACAATTCCAAGTATATACTCATACAAATTTTAAAAATAAAAAATAAAGCTAAAATTAATAGATGTAGCGAAGATGACTATGGAAATAGCTCATCCCCTTAATAATCGAAAGAGTTTTGTCAGTAATTGAAATTATAATGCTCCCCTTTTTATATAAAAAGTCTAATTTAAATTATTAATTATTGAGCATGATTCACCTTTAATGGAAACTTTTGTTAGCCTAACATAGAGTTATGTTAGGGTTCCAAATAATCTACCAAAATTTTTACTAAACTACTCACTTGAGTGTGGGATTGACACACATGAGGATTTGTATGGGTCTCACACCTATGTAAGAGATTTAATAAAAAATTTGATAAATTATTTAAGGTTTATAGCATTTTTCCTAACATAAGATCATATACCCAACTCATAATATACAGAATATTTTAGTAACCATTGTGAAATACTGTAGGGTTTGGCCAATAATTGAAAACTTTATGCTTAGCTAATCAAGTCAAGATTAACCTAGGCATTAGCGTACTTGGTAAATGTCTGGAGGTTAAGACCCCGAGTCTCAAGATTGAAATTTCTTGGGCCAATTTCTTGAGCGTAGCACAGTTAGTTAGAAAGTTAAGCCTCAAGTTATTGTTACCATAGTACTTGGTGTGGGTTTAATACTCTCCTACTACACAAGTTCTGACTTAAGCGGAACTTATCTTGAAAGGTCGGGACAAATTCTCAGGTTACAATCTATTACTTGGAACAAACAATAAGACACCTTGAATTTGCGAGAGAGTTGAAGGATTTTTTTATAAAACAAAAAAAAATTTAAAAAAAATAGTCAAGATTTGGAACCCCTATCCTTCTTCCCTCCCCCAACTCCTAAATGATAAAACAAATAGACATGAACATGTTCCTAATTACATATGCAAATATTTTTACCTTACATATGTGTATTTAGTGACTTAAGCAGAATTTGTCTTGGGAGTCGAGACAACTTCTCGGGTTATAGTCTAATACTTAGAACGGATAACAGGACACCTTAAATCTGTAGGAGAGCGGGAGGATTTTCTTATAACAAAATAAAAAATAAAAGTCAAGATTTGGAACCCCTATCCTTCTCCCCTCCCCCAGCTCCTAAATGATGAAACAAACAAACATGAACATGTTCCCAATTACATATGCGAATATTTTTACCTTATATCTGTGTATTTTGTGACTTAAACGGAATTTGTCTTGGAGGTCGAGACAACTTCTCAGGTTATAGTCTCTTACTTGGAATAGACAATAGGACACCTTGGTGATCTCTGCGAGAGATGTTGCCTTAGACCTACGACAGAGTGGGAAGATTTTCATGTAACCAAAAAAAAAAAAAAAAGAAGTCAAGATTTGAAACCCTTATCTTTGTCCCGTCTCATAACTTCCAAATGATGAAACAAATAGATGTGAACATGTTCCCAATTACATATGTGAATATTTTTATTTTATATCTACGTTTTTTGTGTCTGATTCTTTATGTGTACGCAGCATGACTAGTAAAAAAAATTATTTGCTTTTAGAATTTTTATACGAAATGTATAATATGAATTATGTGTCAATAATATTTGCAAAATTATGAGAATAATAGTAGGTATTCTTGTAATGTCTTGTTTTCATTTTTTTTTTGAATAAAACAAAGTGCAAAAAGAATTATTTCTTAAATAATTGTACTTGTCTCATGACATCTTCTTTCAAGTAGTTGAAACTCTCTAGTCTCCAAGTAGTACCAAATTCACTTATTTTTTACTCAAGGAAATTGTAAAAATACATTAATAAAGTAGGGAGCAAAATTAACTTGCAATGGTTGTAAAAAAATTTAGACTTATATTCCTTCACAAGTTTTTATTAATGTAAATTGGGAAATTTAGCCATAAATCCCTCTTAGCTTCTTTTTCTTGTTAAAAGGACAGGAAAAAATTTAATACTTTCAAAACCCCCTAATAATTATAAAATTTTGTATAAAGGATAAAAATTGTTATTTGAATATTTTATTTGACCGTTATACCATTTCTTTCTTCCATTTCTTTTACAATACTCTCTCTCTCTTCACCAACTCGATGGTTGTTCATTATTTCCACCATCTTCATCGTCTATCAGTGTCACTCATCCTCATCGTCGGTTAACAACCACCATTTTTACCGTTACACCACCACCATCTCAGATTTGATACCTATGAACTCATATTTGAGATCAATAACTTCAGATCAAAGATTTAAAATAAATAAATAGATAGATTTGATAGAAAAATGAGAAATCGA